AGGTAAAAGAGTCAGTGCTTTTGGCCTCAGGAAATGTTCCCTTCAGAAGTGCTCACACAGGAGGTGTCCCTAGGGGGCACTGGTGAGCCAGGCACTGCAGAAGTGCTGACTCCACATTGAATCAACTGATATCAGAAATGATCAAAATCCTCCCTGGAGAAACGTCAGTCAACCATCTGGCCCTGCCTGTGGGTGGGGTGGGCCTTTATCTACCTGATACGAGTTGAGGATGCTGAAATGTTGGCCTGCCCCTAATATCTCCTTTATCAATCTACCCTTCAGTCCCATTATTAGATACTCCTTTGAGTCAAGGCCAAGGTCTTCAAATATCAGGTTTTTTTTAATGTTTATTTTTGAGACAGAGAGACACAGAGCATGAACGAGGGAGGGGCAGAGAGAGAGGGAGACACAGAATCGGAAACAGGCTCCAGGCTCTGAGCCATCAGCACAGAGCCCGACGTGGGGCTCGAACCCACGGACCGCGAGATCGTGACCTGGCTGAAGTCGGACGCTTAACCGACTGCGCCACCCAGGCGCCCCAGGCCAAGGTCTTCAAAAGACCTGTTATTTTTTTTTTTAACGTTTATTTATTTTTGAGACAGAGAGAGACAGCATGAACGGGGGAGGGTCAGAGAGAGAGGGAGACACAGAATCTGAAACAGGCTCCAGGCTCTGAGCTGTCAGCATAGAGCCCGATGCGGGGCTCGAACTCACCGACCGCGAGATCGTGACCTGAGCCGAAGTTGGACGCTTAACCGACTGAGCCACCCAGGCGTCCCCAAAAGGCTGTTATTAAAGCACAGACTTAACATGAATGAGTGGATGAAATTAAAAGAGATCCTAGGGATTCTGAGAGATTTTTTTTTTTTTTTTTAAAGGATTAGTGTGCCGGAGACCCTGACCAGCCACACATAAAGTGCTGGGAGGCCACTGAGAACCTCTTGTAGGGGAGGAAGGGGGTGGAGACCCAAAAATAAATCCCCCATCTGGGTTTTCAGAGCCCACCTCAGAAGCCACCTTCCTCTCATAGTTTTTGCCCTAGGGCTCACTTTTCTCAACTTAATTTATTAAAAAAAAATTTTTTTTTAATATTTATTCTTGAAAGACAAAGATACAGAGTGCAAGTGGGAGGGGGAGGGGTAGAGAGAGAGGGAGACACAGAATCCAAAGCAGGCTCCAGGCTCTGAGCTGTCAGCACAGAGCCCAAAAAGGAGCTTGAACTCACAAACTATGAAATCATGACCTGAGCCAAAGTCAGAGGCTTCACCGATTGAATTAAGCCACAGCTTAATTTATTTAAAAGAGTGCAGCCCCCAAGTCTGGGCTTCAAGTTTGCTCGGCCTCAGAGGAGAGCTGGCCTCCATTTTCTAGTTTCACCATGAAATATTGGTTAGGTGATCTCAAGATTTTTTCCAGCTCATTGTCTTGCTTTATCTGTACAACCACCATATCCTGCTTCTACTATCTATTGATTATCCTGGTTTTACAGCCAGGGAAGGGGAAGAGAATGATGCAGTGACTTCTGAAAAGTATTCCAGAAAGACTTTAGCAAGGAAGAGAGGACAGAGAGGCCAGGAAACAAATGAGAGCAAGACTGTGGAAACAGCGACAAGATTTAGCCCCATAGCCCTTGGCCTAATTTGTTTCCGTCTCATAGGACTTTGTACCTAGCTGGATTTCTTATTTTTTTTTTTTTAACATTTATTTATTTTTGAGACAGAGAGAGAGCATGAACAGGGGAGGGTCAGAGAAAGAGGGAGACACAGAATCTGAAACAGGCTCCAGGCTCTGAGCCGTCAGCACAGAGCCCGACGCGGGGCTCGAACCCACGGACCGCGAGATCATGACCTGAGCCGAAGTCAGATGCTTAACCGACTGAGCCACCCAGGCGCCCCTATACCTAGCTGGATTTCTTAAACAGTGTTCTGCAGAAGCCTAGTGTCCCTTAAATGTCTGGCGGGGAATGCTGTGAGCCTTTGGAAAAATAATTTGAATCTTCAGCATTATAGTACTAATCCAAGTATGCTGCAGCCTTTTCCTTTTTCTCTGACAAAATGTTTTAGATTCCTTTCTTTAAAAATGATTATTGCTTGGTGCTCCAGAGCCTGAGAACATGAAGGAAACAGAGCTCTGAAACAGAGGCATGAACTCAAGAACACTTGGAGGACCCTATAGGAAACACTCCGCCATGCCCACTGTAGGCCATCATTGTGTCAAAATGCAGGCCCACAAGTATCAGGTTCATTCATCTTTTTATTTTTTGAAAAAGAAGTAGGATATCTAAATACTTCCGTAATATCTCTATTTTCAAAAGCTGGCAACTGATTAAGAACCAAAACAAAAGAAAAAAAAAAAGAAAAGGAAAGAAATTTTGCTGGCCACCTAGAGGGTGGCTGTCCCTGCATCCCTGGTCCAGGGTGGCCGTGGCTGGTTGTCTTGGCTGACAGTCTGGCAGAGCTGGTCCTTTGCTGGGCACTGCCCTTGTGGACTATCGGCCAGTCATTTGGAGGAGTCATCCTCAACCCACACCAAGGGCAGATCCTTCGTGGGTGGGGGAGTTGGTTGGGGAGCTCAGACAGACAGCCTGAATTGGGCAGACCAAATGTTTCAGGTTTTATTAATGCAACTGTGCTTGTAAAAATATGACTTTTCTCCCTTTCTTTTGGACTTCGTTTAAGTCTATTTGAAAAACAAGGTTCGCACAATACTTTGCGTATTCTTTCACTTTTCACTGTGGTTATATATAAACCTAAAAACAAAAAGTAAACAAACAAAACCCTTGTTTTAATACTGGGTAATCTTCAGCCTTCTACTCAATACCAGAGAATGAGCTGTTAGGTGTCTAAGCAATGACTCTTTTTTAATTTTCATCCAGTTTCTTAATTGCCAGTTCTTGTTCAAATTCTCATCTTCAGCTTATTCTCCAAAAATCCACAAGGTATAACAGGATTACATTCAAAGGGCAAATGAGTTACATAATTCTTCATTTCCCTTATAATTAATTACATAAAGATATACATGTGTAAAACACGTGTTATACAACTATATCAAATAAATCATGGTTAATGTTTACATCTCTTTGTAAATGATGATTTTAAATGTTATAATAATCAATGCCCAAACAAATGATCCGTGCTTACTTGGGACTCGTGATGGTGTTTAGAAGGTAAGAACATTCTCTTTGAATGATCTTTGCACGCAGAAAACCATACTGTATGCACAGTATACCAGCCTCAGCCCTTCATATGTGCTCCGTGAATATTTTTTGATTAAATAAAAGAGCAAATAATAATGGGGAAGAAATGTTAGAAAAGATTCTATTTGGGAACAGATGGCTATACCTTTTCCTTTAAGAAGTTAAGTTAAGCTTGAGTAATTCATCGTTTGGGGTTCATGACCCTGTTAGAAGGACAGTTGAACTTCAGGGGGGCAACAAGGGCAGGAACCGTCCTGACTCATCAGCCAGCCAGTAATTCCGGTTTGACCTTCTTTGTTTTTGCCATATCAGTGTACCCGTGCTCTTGACATTTTTCTTTAAGACAACTCTCTGTTGCATTCATTTATATCCCCACTCGGAGTGAAGAGCTAGAATCATTAGCAAAGACAGTGCAGTAGTTTCGAACTTTTAGTTCTTGTTGCTTGTGTCCCTGGAGCCTGAAACTTATTCCCCCTTTGTTTTTTGCTTTTTAAAGTTTATTGGTTTATCTTGAGAGAAAGAGGAAGTGTGCATGAGAGAGAGTGGGGGAGGGGCAGAGAGAGAGAGAATCTCAAGCAGGCTCTGCACTGTCAGCGCAGAGCCTGATGTGGGGCTAGATATCACGAACTGTGAGATCATGACCTGAGCCGAAGTCAAGAGTCAGACGCTTAACTGACTGAGCCACCCAGGTGCCCGTTTGTTCTCCCTTTGTTAAAAAGGGGGATTATGAGGGTTTGGATGGCAAAGACCTCTTTCCAATCAAAATTGAATATTCTCTTGATAAAATCAAAAGGACTGAAGGAGAATTGACAAGGGAATAACTTTCTATGCTATTGAAAGATACAGCCCACCTGACTGCCAGCAGAGCCTGTCCCATACTTGGGAAACTCTGATCTAGTTCAACATCTTCATTGTACAGATGAGCAGAGGGAGGCAGAGGGCAGTACAGTGACTCGTCCAGGTGCAGGGATGGGACTCAACCCCACTTCCCAGGCTGGAGTGGTGATGCCTAATCTCTCTAGCTCACCTACTGAAAGATGCTTGACTGCACGAAACGAGAAAGGAAGCAGAAGTCCTGAGTCAACAACGTCTGGGCGGAAGTGGGGAAGTACTGGGCACGGAGGCAGTGAAACTGGCAGCGGTGTAGATGGGGAATTTAGGGGGCTGTTGGGGAGGGGCTGTTATCAGCCCTTATGCTGCCCTAACTCCCTTTACAGATGAGACAATGCAGGCCAGAGAAGGGAAAAGACTTGCCCACGATCTCAAGGCCTCTCAGTGGCAGAGGGGAGACTTACAGCCCCCATTCCTGCCTTCCATGCCTGCCATTCTTTTTTTTTTTTATATAAGTCCATTATTATTTTTTGGGGGGGGGGGTGCAGAGAGAGGGAGAGAAAGAATCCCAAGCACTCTCCACGTTGTCAGCATGGAGCCTGTCTCAGGGCTTGATCCCATGAACTGTGAGATCATCACCTGAGCCGAAACCAAGAGCCAGATGCCTGACTGAGCCACCCAGGCACCTGCATTCTTTACATGGCCCCACTCCAGTTATCTAGCTGTGACATCCCTGCCTCTTTACAAAATCTAAGACGATACTCATGTCCTGTAAGTATCGGGGCTTTTTAGTGTTTAAAATTGCACTATTATTGTTATTTTGCACCAGCAAGAAATCCATATTTAGGTATGTGCCAGCTGCCTCCAGAGTCCTGCCTGGGGCTCGTGATTCATCCCCATCCCCACCATGCCAAGCACAAGAAGACAGTGCACCCTGGACTCATTCTGGCAGCCGCCTTCTGGGTTAACTTACCGCGAATCGCTTCCCACAGCTCTCGTTGCCGCAGCATCCACAGCAGTCATTGTTCTTCAGGCCCAAGAACACCAGCGCAGGGAAAATCATCTGTCAGCAAGAGAAGCACCTCAGACTGGGTCTGACATGAGAAATGGGAGCCTGTGCCTGCCTGGCTGTGAGTGGAGCTATGTCCGTGATGCGGGACTCAGGGGCTAAAAGGGTATGGCGAGAACTTACAGAGCATGGCTGGTGCAGTAGATGGAGTATTAACTGAGTATTACTGTCTAGTTTCCATGAGGCCTAATTGCAGCCTCAGTGAGGCAAGACTTCAGGACCTGACACCCTGGGTTTCCATTTACGTGGTAGGTTAGGATAGCGATAAGAAACTTGTCTGCAATCGTTTTGAAAAGTGAGTCTAGTCTCTCTCTCTCTCTCTCTCTCTCTCTCTCTCTCTAAATTGGAGGTTCCCATCCTCTACTGGAAACAAGGGGTAAATGTATCATTAGTGAATGAGCGGAAGAGGAATCCACCAACACCTGCTTCTTTTGGTGGTTTTCAGTCAATCAGTTTGCCAGAAAGTGTGTGTCTACAACCCCCAGCACTCTCTTGTTAGCATATAGAAATCAGGGGGCGCCTGGGCGGCTCAGGTCATGATCTCGCGGTTCGTGAGTTTGAGCCCTGCGCCGGGCTCTGTGCTGACAGCTCAGAGCCTGGAACCTGCTTCGGATTCTGTGTCTCCCTCTATCTCTGCCCCTCCCCCACTCGTGCTCTGTTTCTGTCTCTCAAAACTAAATAAACATTGAAAAAAAATTTTTTTTAAATACAGAAATTTGGCAGCCCTCAGTCTGGTTCGTGGAATTCGATTGACCCATGAGAACTGCCAGCCCAATCTTGGGAATTCATTACTTATTAAATTTAGTGGACATGCTCTCGTCAGGTCCTAATGGAGAAGGGAAATCATTAAGACACTGACTTTTCATCATGCAATGCTTGGGCTTTTGTTAGCAATGAAATATCTTCTTGTTCAAAAGTACCCAATTTTAAAAGGATTCGACAGAACTCTCTGGGGGGATTTTAAGGCTTCCCTACTCACCAAGACCCCGCTTCCTAATATTCCTCCGAAAAACCAGACCTCTTCAGAAAGGTGGTCGTTATTGTCTATCACTTTTCCTCCAGGGAAGAATAACAGGATGTTAGCCAGGAAGCCAAACAAGGCGAGGGGGATGAGGGTGCCCCCCAGGCACTTGGCGCAGCCCCCCGTGCACATATTGGGGAAGCACAATACAGGTCTGCGATACAAGGCTCTTCAGCGCCTCCTTCACGGGGTCTCTTCAAAGTTATCAGCCGGAGCGTCCTTGTAAATGTCCCCAGTTCAATCCGTATTTTGGAGCTGAGAGCCAAATCAGCCTGTGAGCTGTGTCCTTGGAGTTGCTTCTGCTTCTCAGATGTAGCACACCCTTGATGACGATGGACATTTATACATTCTCCCTGACCTGAAGTCCTTTTTTTTTTTTTCTGCACTCCATAAATGAGATTATGCGCAGAGCAATCATTTTGCCATGGAGACCAATAACCTCTGTTAATAATCCACCAACACAGGCAAGACACTCACATTGTTGCAATCGAACACAGGGCTGGAACAAACAGCATTTAGAATTTGTGCACCTTTAATCTGTCAATGTCACTACCCAGATAAGGAAATATTTCCCCCAGGCTCTTCGTAATCACTGTATAATTGAGTTGCATCCTAAAATCATGTCTCACAAGTACTTAATGGTCTACAGTGTGTGTCTTTTTGTTTCCACTGAAAGCCTGGAATGCAAAAGAATTATCCAAAAGAGCTTCTGTTTTCCTCAATACGAAAATAACAATTTGATGGCCTCATTGCGTATCACTGGGCCCAGACCTACAAAAATTTTTTAAAGGATAAAATCAGAATGATTATTATTTTTTTCAAGTTTGTTTATTTATTTGTAGCACACAAGTGGGGGTAGACACAGAGAGGGAGGGAGAGAGACAATCTCAAGCAGGCTGCACACAGCACAGAGCCCGATACAGGGCTTAAACCCACAAACTGTGAGATCATGACCTGAGCCAAAGTCAGACGTTTAACCGACTGAGCCACCCAGGCGCCCTGCAAAGAGGACTTTAAATGCTCCTCATCTTCCGTGAAGAGGATATCATGCCCCTCTATAGGTGAAGACACTCGGGCTCAGACAAGTAAAGTACATTTTGCAAGGTCATTCCAGCGTAATAAGGCAAGGAGCTAAGATTACAAATCAAGATGCTATGTTGCCGAAACCTGGGCTATGGTCTCCCTAATAGGTGTTCCTTTTCAGAAATTTAAAAAAAAAAAAAAAAAAATTTTTTTTTCAATATAAACAATAGAATGTCACTATGTGCAAAGTATATGGAAACAGTGGGACATACTTCCTTCTGAACAATAATTTTGATTTTGTCCCCTTATTACAAACCCTGTAAGTATTCATTTATTTAGGTTAAAAAGTCAGATGTACAGACAAACAGAAGGATGAAAAGGAGAACCAACTGTGCTCCCACCACCAACAGATAAGGACTGTTACCACTTTTCTGGAAGTTATTTTCCAACACTCCAAGCAGGTGCAGATGCGCTTTATTTATAACCCTCCAGTTTTTGACAGGGAGTCTTGAGAGTAATCCCACAGAAGAAGACAAGGTTCTAGAAATGTAAGGCTTGAATTAATCATCATTGATGCCACCTTGAAGCTAGGCAGCCCCCTCACCCCCCACCCCCTGGGTCCTGGAAACCTTCTTTCTTTTGCCAGGGCCTTTGGTCCCTACAATTTCCCATCATGGCATTTGAATAACACCAGTCAACACAACCTTGACATCCTAGACTTTTCAGACTAGCAACCGGAATTGCCGGTCTACACTGTCTGAGAGAATAGATGCTAGTAAAGGGTGCTGTGCACCACACCTCAGCTTCCTTCCACAGTTTTCTTTCCAATAAAAATTAGAAGGATTTTTAATTTCCAAGTCTTTTGAGAAAGCGAGATTAATGCAACAAAAATTGAAACATCTAGTTAATAAATTTAACAACAAGCCAAAGTAATTTTGTTATGTGAATTTCCCGTTTATTATAGGCTAGCTAACAATGTTTCAAATGGTAGAATTCCTACTGGTCTTCCTACTTCTTCAGTTGTCTGATGGCTGACTTGACTGTGACCGCAGAAGTGGTTTTGTATGTCCAGGGACCACTGCCTATCGTTTTCATGCACAAACTGCAATGCCAGATCCCCACAGCTTGTCTTTTCATCCCGGTTTTGCCACAGAAAGGGCAAGCGTGCTTGGCCTGCTGGCTTACTTCAGTCTTCTTCACCATTTCCTGAGGGAGGCACCATAACGGATCCCATAATTACTGACCTTCTTGGTATGTTTAGCCATGTCGCCACAAACTAGGTCTGAGCCCAGACAGTCCTTTCACAATTTTTGAGAAGTTGTGGCACATGAGTAACTGTGAGGGAGAGGGCTGAGGTCGTTTATTTCCTGTGTGGAGAAGAGGAAACGCTGATAGTCACTTTTCTGGAATGCTCTGGCCATTGAGACTTCAACACTTGGAGGATGACTAACTCATTTATTGTTCAGCTATTAATTGTGCCTTCAGACCTGCAAGCAGGAAGTGGAACACCTAATCTGGAGAAAAGTGGGGGGAGGGAGGCAGAAATTTACCCCCAGGAAGGGATGGGGGTCACCAACAGACTGCTCTAGGCACTAGAAAAAAATGTTGTGAGATTCTGGCACTTGTTCTTGTGACACTCAAGCTTGATGGTTTGTTGCTTGCTCTCTGTTGAGCAGTGAAGCCCTTAAGCCAAAAAAGCTCAAGACCTCTTTTTCAGAGATCATAAAGAGTGGGGGAGTTGAGACTGCGTCCCATTTTGGATCCAGTCCTGTAAAAAGACCTCAGAAGTGAAAGCAGATGGCAGCTCTGGGAGGGACATAAAGACAGTAGAGATCTTTGCAGAAAGAATACAAGGATGCAAACATCCTTCAGTGGCAGTCTTGGACTTCACCCTCTGGGAGGTTTGACTGCTGGAGATTAAGCAGCAGGAAGTCCAGGGGTTCCTCTCTGTGATGAGACAATGAGCACAGGAGTAGGAGATATTTTCCAGGTGACTGATCACCTGCTGGGGTGTGCACAGTACTTAGGCGAAGCGTACTACTGTTTCTCAGCCTGCTAAACTTCTTTGCCTTGCAATGGATGAAGAATCATCAATTCAGTGGAATGCAACCAGTGTGTTTGAAGTGCCCACAATGTGTCCACCAATATGCCAAGTGCTGTCCTGATGAGCAACAACAATAAAAATCTGACTTACTTTCTGTCCTCGATGGTATCACAACCTCTTACTTGAGACAAGAGACAATGGAAATCATGCACAGAGAGTATAAGAATTAACTGCTTCTTAGCTGAAGAACTAGAATAGGCTCTTCTGCTTCTCGGAAAGGAGATCACTCTCATTTATTTATTCATCTAGCACATCAGGGAGAATATGAGGGGCCGACACACTCATATTCAGGTGTTAACAGTTTAGCTCCCCATCTTTGCTTGCCTACATTAATTGAAACAGCTCCTGAAATGTGATTTCCAAAAGGAGAAAGAAATGACGGAAAATATTAGTGGGCATTGCATGTAACAAGAATTACAGCCATTTTATGAAAGTTTTATAATGTGCGTGTAGATAATGGGTAATAATGCAACATGTTTAATTTACTTATAGATCTCCAAAAGGGATGCTTGGGTGGCTCAGTCGGTTGAGCATTTGACTTCAGGTCAGGTCATGATCTTACAGTTGGAGAATTTGAGCCCCACATCGTGCTTACTACTGTCAGCTCAGAGCCTGCTTTAGATCCTCCGTCTCCCTCTCTCTGCCCTTCCCCTGCTTGTGCTGTCTCAAAAATAAATAAACATTAAAAATAATAATAAGGGTCAAAAACATTTTAAGAGCCAATGCTAATCTGATCTAATATGCTCTTGCCTAAAACCCTCAGGAGCCTCCCATGACTCTCATACCTTAAACCCATCCCTCTCTAATTTGCCTTCCTGCCAAACCAAGTCAGTCATCTTCTTGCTTGCTTCTCTGCTCCCTTCACCTGCTTCCCTCTTCCACATCTCTAGGACTTAGTTCAGTGGTCCCTCCTTCCAAGAAGTCTTGTTGTACCAGAAAAGTGTTTCACAGTCAAGGTATGTTTGTAAAAATCTAGATAATACAAAGTTAAATAGACTTCTGAATGGCATAACTTTTTAGGGCTTGTAATTGGCAAATGCACTTGTAGTTATCGAAAGAAAGTTAAGAAATGTAGTGTCCAGTGTGTCCAAAACTTCACCATGCACAGCACTCTTCTGTTTTGGCACATCCTGAAGGACTAGGTTACCCAGAACATCCTTGGGAAACTTGGAGCTTGTTCATTTCCCAAGTGTTTGTGAAGGAATCTGTGTTAGCAGGGAGAAGGTGAGGGGTCATTTGAGGGAAAGAAAGGGTAACAAGTGAAAGTTGAAGATGGGATGAAGCGTGGTTTGGGGGAGCTGGATCATGCAGAGGGGCGTGAGTTGGGATCAGGACTGGGAACCAGTTCAGCCTCCACTGTCCTGAGGGATGGGAGATAGCTGGCCTGCAGGAAGGCAGTAGCTAATCTTAGGTGGAATGGTAAACTCTAGTCCTTCATACTTGGGGTCATTTCAACATGTGTGCTCTAAAAGGGGCCCGTGTCCTGGTTGAGATGAGACTATAAAAGGTCCAGATGGCCTGGAGACTAGATGACATGGGGCCCACGCTCAGACTTCTCTGTCTCAGAAAGCTAATAAGAGTTGTCATCCAAGCTTAACAGGAGACAAATTTTACAGAGCAATTGCTATGTGTTGGGCACTAGTCTAAGGGCTTTGTGTTACTACTTGTTTAATCTTCAGAGCAACCTGCTAAGGTAGGTATTGTAATTATTGTCCCTACTTTAAAGGTGAGGAAACCAAAACAACTAGTAAGTGTTGTTCTAGTTATCTATCAAGGTATCGTAAGGCACGTTAGAGCTTTGTATTTGGAATAGCAACCGTTTTGTTATACATATCATGATTTTGTAGGTGAGGAATCAACTGGGTGATTCTTCTGTCCCAGGTAGTGTTGACTGGGGTTATTTGCTCTTATTCAGCTGAAGACTGCATTGCATTGGTCTGTAGGGCCCATGAAGGCTTCACTCACCTGCCAGGTGCATTGATGGGAAGGGCTGTAAGACTGGGCTCAATGGGGCCCTCACCTCCCCCTTTAGTTTTAGGGTTCTTCTTGTGGTCTCTGTAGCAGTGTAGTCAGATTTTTTCATGGTGGCTTAAGGATCCAAGAGACAAGAAAGTGGAAGCTGCCAGTTTCTTAAGGCCTGGGCCAGAAACTGGAACAGGTCTCCTTTTATTATATCGCCTTGGTCAGAATTGTCAGAGTCATCTCAGATTCAGTGGAAGGGGCACAGACCTCATCTCTCCAGGAAAGATGGCCACACAGTCTTTGATACTTTAAATTGTCACAGTGGTCGAGGTAGGATTTGAACCCAGGAAGTCTGGCTCCAGAGACTGCTCTTAACTACC